CCCCTCCAAGCAACTTGGGAACTCCATGAGAGCCTGGTGCTACAGAGGAACCCAATACTCCTCAGTGCCCTCATCATGCTCCACAGACAGCTTTAAGCCCCACAGGTCAAAGTGAAGTGGTGTTTCTTACTATTCTAATTCACAACTTAATCAGGCCCTGTGAGAGCTCGCAGGGGTAGAAGGGAACACAGTGATACCTTGGTTCATGAATGCTTCTTCTGACAAACCAGTTTATGAACAGAAATGATCAGCAAAACTCGCTTCCATTCAGAAACTCCACATGAAGTGACCAACGTGATCATGGCCATCTTCTGCACACACGTACAAAAGCACCCCTCTTTTCTAGAATCATGGAATGAATTAAGTTTGTGAACCAAGGTATCACAGTACTCTACTGCAGGTCCCCTTTTCAGTTGCAGATGTCTAGGAATGTGCAAAGAACAACTAGGCCAACTAACAGAGGACCCTAGTAAGTTCCCTGATGGGTTTCAAACTTTGACTGTTGTTTTCAATTTATTATGGCAAGATGTCCAATTCATCTTGGCCACTTGCTATACCCCAGATGAAAGACTCAAGAATCCTACAAGAGGCTAGATACTATGCAGATGAGCAACATACTTTGAAATGGGAAGGAAACCACCCTGGAGAGGCTACTCTTCCTTCAACAGAACCAAACTGGGACTATAATGCTAATCATGGACTAGAAATGATGTCTAATGTGCTAGCTGCTCTTACCATGGGGATAAAAAGGTTCATTAAAAGTCTGTTAATTATGATAAAGTGAGTGGGGTCATACAGGGCACAGGAAAATCCAGCTGCCTTCTACAACCAATTAGTAAAAGTCTTTCATAAATATGCCAGTACAGATCCATCTTCCAGGGAGGGAGAGGCGCTCATGGGACATCATATCATCTGTCAGGCAGCTGCAAATATTAAGCATAAGTTGCAAAGAATTGGATGGGGTCACAGACACCTGTGGCACAATTACTGGACACAGCTTTTCTGGGTTCATAAGTCAGAATCTGGAGAAGGGACAAAAGAGAAAGGCTAAGAATATATCTGTCACAGTTGGCAGTGCTTTAAACTCACACAAATAATCTAAGGGAAAAACCCAGGGACAGCTGAGGTTCCTGTTGCAAAGGCAAGAAGACTGGACACTAGGCATGAGATTGCACCCAGCCTCCACCTGCCCCTTGCTCCAAGTGTGAAACAGCTAATGTGCCTGACACATGGCATTAGAAATTTAACTCTCTCTGCTCCCAGAGAGGGACTGAGTTAGCCTTAACTCTCACTTCCTATTCCTGACTGAAGGGGCCTAGGGAACCCTGCAATGAGCTGGCCCACAGACAGTGACATAGAGGAACCCTGGGTGACCCTAGATGTCATGGGTGAGCCAGTTCACTTCCTTCATTCAGGTTTTTTTTTTTAAATCTTGTTGAGTTTATTGGTACATTTTAGGCATACAGTACAGTTACATTCATCATTGGGATCTTGTACCTTTACATGACGGGTCTTGGTTCTCATTTTTCCTCCTTGTCCCTGCCCTCCCTTCACCCCCTCCTCCCTTCCCTATTTACAAATACTTTATTTCCATTTGTTCATTTTCTCATTTTTTTTTCTTTTCCCTTATTCCCTTTCCCCTGCCCTTCCCACTTCCCCTACACCTTTAGCCCTTTTCTTCCTATTTCACATTGTCAGTTATACCATTAGGATCTTATGTACAATTCCCTCTTAACTCTTTCAGACACAGGGGCTACAGGGGCTACAGCAGTGAACAAGCTGGATGATGTCTGTGCTGTTACAGACAGTCAATCACCAGATAAACAAAGAGATAACTGAGTCTATCCTGAGCTGGCCACACCCTGGGCAGCCTTTGTCCCCAGCAGCCTGAAGCAAAACTCTTTGGCTACGGAAGCTGTGTCATGATTGTGACTACAGCCCAGGCACAGGATGTCAGGAACTCAGCATCCTTAAAATTGTTATAGATGCCAACTTCTCAACTTTATTGTCACATTCTTTGCTATACCTCAAAGTGAAACACCCAGTTTCCAACTGCATCAGGGAAATAGACTTTCAATGCTTAGCTTGTTTTTGTATTGAAAAAAAAAATTAACTTCTGGTATTTCACTACCTCAATTTCTTTTTTTATTAGTCCATGGTTGCAGCACATAAGGATCACACTCGTTGTGTGCAGTTGGCACATAATGTAACACATCTTACTTCTTGTTATCACTTTCCCCTTGCTTCCTCTGCTTCCATCTCGTGGACTACTTCTTCTACTTTTTTGTATATGTTTGTAGTACATAGTGGTCATGCTTTCTGTAGGAACTTGGTATATGTACGCAACACACCACAATTAACATTTTTTTAAAAATCCCATATCTGCAGGGTGTGGTGGTGCATGCCTGTAATCCCAGCCCTGGGGAGGCTGAGGCAGGAGGATTGCTGTGAGTTTGAGACCAGCCTGGGCTACCTAGTGAGTTCCAGGTCAGACTCAACTACATAGTGAGACCCTGTCTCAAAAAACCAAAAAAAAAAAAAAAAAAAATCCCATTTCCATCTCCTTCCTCTCCCCTCCCTCTATCTTTAGCATATGTTAAGGATCTGTTTTACCATTGTCTATTGTCTTTTAGTTTGCTCTTTATTTATATTTTGGGTGTCTCACATAAGAAAAGCCATGAGATACTTAATCTTGTACATTTGATTTATTTCATGTAACATTGTGGTTTCAAGGTGTATCCATTTTCCTACATGTGCTCAGGTTTATCTTTCTTTATTGCAGAGTAGTACTCCATTTTGTATAAATACCACATTTTCATCATTCATCTGTTGAATAATATAGGCCATTTCCAAATGTCTTGTTTCTTTACGTTATGAATTAAATGTGTTTATAAGTATTCATCATTCTCAGAAGAAAGTTTAGCAGTCACTCTAATTTTCTCTCAAACTGACCCTGAGAAAGCACTAACCTATTTTCTGTCTCTATAATTTTTTCAGTTTTGAATATTTCTTATAAAAGGAATCATATATAAACCCCCTTATAATCAGTGCATTTGATTGGCCAACCTAATCAGTTTCCATCCTAGACGTATAGACTGATGGGAAAGTGGGTTTTTAGAATCTTGGGGAGATGTGGTTTAGAGCTTAACATCCCTCAAATGCTCATGTGTTCAAATGAGTGGTCGCCAGTGCAGAGTGCTTAAATGTGTGGACTTTAGGAGGGCTCTGACCTGATAAATAGATTAATCTAGTTATAGATTCATAGCTTAATGGGGTATTTGGACATGATGGAATCTGGTTGGGGCCTAGATAGAGGCAGTAGGCCCTTGGAGTATGCTCCTGAGGGACATATTTTGTCACAAGTCTCTCCCCTTCTCTCTAATTTTTAGTAGCCCTGAGGCTACCAGCTCTTTTCCACCACACACTCTGCACCATGATGTTCTTCCTCACCACAGGCCCAGAAATGACAGCCAAGTGACCATGGACTGAAACCTCGGAAACCAGGAGCCAAAACGATTCTTTCCTCATCATTAAATTGATTTTCTTTGGCCTTTTGTCACAATTTCAGGAAGCTGGTTACACAGAAGGCAAGGAAAAAGCTGATAAAATGTAGAATATATTTACTGGTGATGAGAGGTCATGCATGAGAGGTCTTCACTACTGTGGGCCATGGACTCTCAGCAGTTACAGTACTGCATGCTTACCTGTGGTAGTTTTTACTTTAGATATCATCTGGTTGAAAAGTATTCCTCCATTTGGGATATGATAATTTCTCCACCTAAATATCACACAGTTCCCTATATTTGCGAGTTCATGAGTTTATCAGCTATCTGCATTTCTTCTAGAACAGGTGCTGAAATTGCATAGTAAGCTGTCAGGGCTACAGAATGTGATCCACATAGTAATAAACATGAGCAGCCCACTCCTCTTACATTGTTAAACATTCATAATTTGTCTTCATGGAGAAAGAAATGTCATGATGCTATACATTGAATGAGATTTACATGAATTATTTTAAATCTACATCTGACAATGAAAAGAGATTGTTCTTGCCACTTGTTAATGTAAATCTTTAAAATAGTAATTTAATGGGGCTGAATAAAATATGAATTTTGATTTGCCTATTTATTTTTGCATCTAATTTTCCTTAGGTTTAATTTAGTAAAATAAGTCCATTTGCATGTTTCAGGAGTTGTGACACATATATCCACCAAATAACTACTAGCCACAATTAAAATATAAAACATTTGTATAACCACCAAAGTTCCCACATACCTCCTTTTGTCATCTGCACCTCCACAGCCTTAAAAAGTCATTGATATTCTTTCCAGTAATGATTTTTTAAATGATTATTGAGACAGAATTCCCATATAAGAAAATGCATCCATTTTAAGTGGGCAATTTGCTGTAGCCATTGATTTTCCCCAAAGTGTAAGTACTTTCCCTATTCCACCCTTGAATTTCCAGCTATAATTATTAAACTTTAGAAAATTTGCCAATTGTTTGGGTATACAGGGAAATGTGCAATGTTTTCATTGTTTTCTATACCCACAAACTCACACACATAGTGCCTTCATAGATTCTACCTGTAAATTATATAATAATCTTTATCCATAGACCATTCCTGAAGAACTACTGTTATAAAGGCCAAATATAGCAGATATAAAACTATGCTACTGAGTTAGAACTAAGCTCTTAACTGATGTTACATAACCTTAAATCTTGAGGTTCCTGAAACATAAGTATTAATGGTATTCTTAGCTGACCACTGCTATAGAACTATTTTAGAGGTGGTACAGTGTAAATCTTAAGGGAAGGAATGGACAAATGTATGTATACAACAAGTGATTCAATGTTTGATGTGTGTGTGAAAGGGTAGATGCTGTACATGTCATATGTAGTCCAGAGATGTCCACTAATGGCACAATTTTCAGAAAGCTTGTTTGAAGCTATTAACATGTTTTGTGAGTTATTGATCTCTAAATGTCTTTCCAGTTTGGCAAGAGAATCCGATTTTAGAGGACAATGACAACAATCCTCTTCATTCGGTAAGATACTGGCTTAATTATTGCTCAGATCCCTGAGTGTAAAGTTAATAGAATAATTTTTTACAGTATGTTCCTGATTTACATGGGGTTGCTATAAAGTAAAATATGGTGGGGAACAAATCATTATAGCTTTGAAATTTAGAAGACCCTGAAAATTTTTTCACTAAGGACTTCCTGCACAGTTTCTATTTTGCCAGATAAAGAATAGCAATTGTACAGTCAGCAGCCATCACTCAATAATCTGTCAGTTCTTTGTAACAAACATATTGTGAGTTCATTATACACGAAGCATCACTTGAGTCTACACATGTGAAAGAAGGCTCCTACTCTGAAGCTCTTTCTCAAGGCAGAAGAGAGAAATGCATTGAATTCACAATCACAACAGAGTGCTAAGTACAAGAAGAGAAATAAGTCCAGAGTGTCATGGCAGTGGAGGTGAAGAACACTGGATTTATGCTTAAAGGACTAGAAGAACCTTTGCTTGTTTTAATAAGAACTTTTCTAGCATAAAGATTTTTGTTTTTCATAAGAAGTGCAAGCCAGTTAACTTGACAGAGAAAATAGGGTCTGTTTGGTTACATTTCTAAGAAACATCTTATTAAAAGTCACATTATAATTCCTCAATGGAAGAATATAGGTTAATATGCTCGAGAGTTTCAAGATGTTAACCTCAGATTGTTTCCTCCTGCACAGATTTCAATAGAGTATATTCTCTGTTACTCTAAGGGTATTTTTAAGTTTCAAAGAAAACCTAAATCAAAATGGGCGAAATCAAAGCTAAACTCTTTCTTATCCTTTTGTTCACACACCCCCAGTTCCCTCTGCTGTTGGTCCATGAGCTTATAATCATGCTTGGTATATTTATCATGGTTGCCAAAGGTAAACCAAAGCCCAAGAGTGGAACTTCGAGCAACACAATTGTGGAGCCTCCAGGCTCAGCCTCAAAGCAGTCATGTGTTACCATGCCTTTGCTGCACGAACCATTTTTTTTTTCTTCTCAGCCAAGGAGCGATTAATTCCAAGTAAAGACTCACTTGTAATCAATAGTACTTCTCACAATTGTGGAGCCTCCAGGCTCAGCCTCAAAGCAGTCATGTGTTACCATGCCTTTGCTGCACAAACCATTTTTTTTTTTCTTCTCAGCCAATGAGCTATTAATTCCAAGTAAAGACTCACTTGTAATCAATAGTACTTTGCACAGTGAAAAATAGGTTTCATAATTAATTGATTGTGTGATATCTGATTCTCAATATAAAACCTTGTTGTATTGGAGAAAAGCTTAAAGTTTGGTCTTTGGTGTGATTAGAGCATATGAAATACATTTGGGGGCATGCTCAGATCTTTATGTGTTGTGCTAAGGGATGTTTCTTTGGAAAGCAAAACAAGGTGATCTCTTGATGAAGCTCAGGGAGGTCTGAGAACTAGACATGAATTCAGAAAAAGCTTCCTGGCAGCTGTGCGAACACAGATGGATATGATAAGAAGTGATGAGAAAACAACAACAACAACAACAACAACACTGAAGAAGCCATTAGGGTAATAAAGATCCAAAGTAAAGAAGTAAGAAAGCAAAGGAAGGAATGATTTAGAGCAATGAGAACATAGCCCAGGTTTACTTAGTAACAAATTTGATGTGCGTGTACATAGGTGTGTGTGTGCATGCGTGCGTGTGTGTTATGTATGTGTGTGTGTGTGTGTGTTTATGATTGTATGGGGGCATCTCTATTAATTTCTACCTTTCAGATTTAGGGCCACCATGTAAAATGAAAAAGACAGGAGGAGGAGATGCAGGATCAGGTAGTTCTGAGGGGGAAGGTAGGAAAAATGATGCCTCATTCATGGATTTTAGTACAGTATATAAGGTGCCAATGGCAAACTCTCAGCAGGTATGAGAATTATGTGAAACTATGAGAATTATGTGAAAGATACAGGACTTCAGAAAACAGAATCTTAAAATCTTTATAAAAGTAAAACCTACATATAGTATGACTCATTACGCACCACGGCTCAAAAGAAACACCTTGCTAGCTGTGTGCATGATCAATGTCTTGTCTCCCAGCTCCGAAGCCACCCTTCACCACCTGCTCCTCATTAATGGGACCTTTCAACCCTTTCCCTTTGCAACTAGATGACATAAGTTGGTCCCAGTAGTGGGCAGTGAAGGGCGCTGGAGGAGGAAGAGATTTCTCTTCTGAGAAGAGTCCTGGGTGCTCCTTCTGCCGCTCCTGCAGGATGGGTGCAAAGTGTGGCTGGTTCCAAAGCCAGACTCTCGCATCATCCATGGCTTTGTGCCAGCCAGGACAACTGTGTCCTCACATCCCTTGTTGGGTAGCAAGTTCTCCCATTCTAGGACTGGCTTCCTCTGACACCTCGGAGGGTGGTTTCCTGGCCAGCTCTACCTGACAGATTGCCAGAAAATTCTTCAGCCTGGCTCCCTGGTGAGTTCTCTGTCACTTGGAGAGTCCCTGCTGTCCCCTCTCCAGAAAAGCCTTGCTCTCGCCTCTGGAGTACGGTCTTTCCCATCTCTCCAGCTCTGCTCTAATCTATGGTTTCTCCAGAGTTGTCTTCTATCCTCACTGTACACTTCTATCCTCACTATACTTGGTTACTTCAACCTGCTGGTAGAGTTAATGGCGTTTCAAAATTAGTTTTCCATGCTTGAGTCCCTGGGGTGCTTCTTTTACTGGGTGGGCTCCAACTGACTCAGTCATCTTTTTGCCTTCATGAGCTTAAGTCACTTGGCTTTTGCACAGGTGACAATATATAAGCCGGCAGTTACATTTTACTATTTCTCAATTCAGTTTTTAAAAATAGTTTTCCTGTCACCAAGTAATTTTTCAATAAAGTTAAACGTTTATAGATATCACTCTAAGATCAGTGATGACTCTATCTCCACACCACCAAGGCCACATCCAATCCCACCTCTCTTCTTTTTTTCCTCTTGGTTTTTTGAGATGAGGTCTCTCTATGTAGTAGCTATGTAGCTGGCCTTGAACTCACTGTGTTGCTCAGGCTGGTCTCCAAGTTGAGGTGATCTTCCTGCCTCAGCCTCCTGAGTTCTGGAATTACAGGTGTATACCATTGAACCCAACTCCTGTCTCCCTCCTACGCTCCCACTCCCCACCCCTTGCCAAGATCATCATCTTTCTCAGTTTTTCTACTGGTGACCCAGAAACTTCACTCTACATACCAAACCCCATCTCTATCCCAGAACCTGGAAAAAAATATTTGTTTTTCTGTTTACCAGTCTTGTAAGGTGAAGAAATCATCATTCACATCCTTTACCTTTTCTTTCCCCTTTCCATTCCTTATGTGGATTAATACAGCTTTTGCTTTCTTAAAATTATTTTTAATTGGATAAAATTTAAAATTTATACCCTACTGTTCAGATTAGAATGAATTGTATATAAGTAAGCTGTTTACATTATAAATCAATAAGTAGCATTTAGAGTGTTTCTTTTTTATTTAAATTGACACATAATTGTACAAATTTACAGGGTACAATGTGTGGTTTGGGCACTTGTACATATTGTGTAATGGTCAAATAAAGGTAATCAACATATCTACCACTTCAAACATTTACACTTCTTTGTAGTGAAACATTGAAAATCTTGTTATTTTGAAGTAAGTATTTGCTAACTAGAATTGCCTGGGTGAGCAATAGAACACTATGCATAGCCTTTCAGGTCTTAGAGATTTTTCTTTGTGACTCATGTTATGCATGTGATTATATTTCCTTCTCTAAGTTTACAAAGTCAGAATCCAGTGTCATTCAAAGGAACATAAACCTAATATCAAATTCAAGACAACTCTCTTTGACTCATTTACTCAAACACATGTCACATTTTAGTTTGCTTTAAAGTTAAGCTGCTTTTCTCTACGGCTATTGTTGTTTTCTAAAATCTCCTGTAAGTGCTAATTTAGCTCATATTCCTTACTTGCATGATAGTCTTTAGTTTTGTAAGCTCTCATTCATCCTATGGGTTATATTGAATTTCCTCCCTATTCTCTTTCTCCCAGAGAACGCCCTCTTAGAGTTTTCAATTCTCCTTTCAATTTAAGCTCTTTGTGTTTTGTATTCATGGAAATAGAAAATATTCTTAGAAATATTAACTGCTTTTCCACCCAAGTGCTAATTTCTTTAGTCATGGTTAACTTCTTTGCTTTGTTGAGACAAATCCCTGAACCACTTTCTGAGTAAATTTTTGAAGTTCTTACATGCAGGAGAACACCTATATTTTGTCCTTGTATTTCATTATTTTGCTAAGGAGAGTATACTCAGTTAACATTTTTTTCTATAGAGCTTTGAAACCACTAAGCTTTGTGTTCCAACACCCAGCATTATTCATGAGAAGACTAATGCTCTATATTCTTTTTAAAATTTTTGGTTTCACAACCACTTGAAAGTCTGACAAAGCAGAGGCAAAGCAATGTGACTGCTTCGCTTTTTGCTCTTCTTGGAAGTTAGTTGCCCTTTTATTCTGTGCTGTGTCCTAGTAATCACTCTCCCTCTGTCTTCTGTCTCCCATGACTTTGTTAAAATAGCTTGTGTATGTTGACCCCAGTACTTGGAATTCTCCATTTGTCTGTCCAGATCTGGGTCTTAATGAGCTATAGTAACATTTCTTTGCCTTCTGGTGTCCAATTGGCTTTGGAAAATGGAAGGCATTAACAGGGTATTGGGAGGTGAAAGACAGAATCGTGCATTATTTTTTTGAAAACTCCCTGTGTGACTGTGGCTAAATTTCTGTCCAACAGATGACAGCTTCTTCTTGGTTTAAGGAATACTGCTGGTTCTCAGAACTCCTTCCTCTTCTTGGCCCCTCAGGCACAGGGATTGTAGTTGCTTCCCATTGTTTTTAGTCTCAAGGGGTATCCTTATTCCTTGTTGGGCTCCCACAGTCCTAATCATGCATTTGTACCAATGTATATATTGAGCTCTCTTTGACACTTACTTTGGGTGAACTAGTTAGTGGCTATACTGGACTACTATAGTCTCC